TTGAAACCTCCGGCTGACGCTGTCGGTTCCAAATGAATTCCCTTGCTTCAAATACTTAATAACACCCGGAAATTTGCCAACACATGATGTTTATCTCCTAATGGTACAGGGCTGCCGAAAAAGATTGATAATCAGTAATATCATCGATAGGAAATATTATTACTGATTGTCAATACGAAAATTCTGTCATCGATATCATCCATACACTTTTGTGATAAAATATAGTTATAATTTACTCACACACAATACGCTAAGCTACGTTTTTATTCATGGGTGCCTTTAAATTATGTTCAGGGCGGTGTTTTGTTAGTAATGCATAAACATGTCACCACACGCCAGTGATGTGAAACGTTATTTTCTTTCATATACTGGACAAAATAAGTTAGGGATATTGGTATTTTTATGATTGATATTTTGTCAGTGTGTCAATGAGTAAATAGATCATTATTCATAATATCAAAATTTACATATATCCCTAACTATTTTTGTTCAGTATATATGTTTCTGGCACTTTTACTCAAAGTTACTTATCTGATATTTATTGATAATCAATAGTTTGTTAACGATTATCGCTTCCCATTATCTATATCTATAGTCAGACCTAATTATGTATGTATAAAGGATTATGAAGTTCAAGGTCCCTATTCACAGCAGTCCTTCTACCACCCATCATAACTCCATAAGAAAATATACTGAAGAGTCTCTTCGTGCTCTGAAGACTTTGTGGATAAGAGCAAAATCCACAAAGGAAAAAACGCCACATTCTAACTAATTGAGGACTCAATGGTTACATTGTCAGTTCATGTGATCTCTTCATGTGATCTCTTCATGTGATCCCAGACCTTCATGTGATCTCTTCATGTGATCCCAGACCTTCATGTGATCTCTGGAGTGGTGGGGTAGACTATTGGTTAAAGGGTTCGCTCGTCACTCTGAAGACCCGGGTTCGAATCCCCACATGGGTACAATGTGTGAAGCCCATTTCTGGTGTCCCCTGCCGTGATATTGCTGGAATATTGCTAAAAGCAGGAGAAAACTGAACTCACTAACTCATATTGTGCATTGAGATCTTCTGTAAGTCTTGACTTGATTATTTCCCCTTAATTGTCTGCCCTGAGTGAGTATGGTTTTACACCATTTTTAGCATCTGCCAAAACAAACTACCCTTTGTCCGTGAATTATGAAGTTTGTGATGTGGTTAGTTCTTGTGGCTAGATACACACCGAGTTGTGATTCCTTGTATTCATTCAAACCATTCTCACCATCAACTGTGTCATGTTTGCCTTTTACAAATATGTCATTTAATAAAAAAAGTCATTTTATATTTACAGGATATGTTGTTTGTGAAAAAGAAGTTTGTTAATAAGTTGTATCACTAAATAGTCTTTGTTTTTGAGTGAGTGACTAGGCATGAAGGAATGACCAAAGATTTCCTCTGGTTTGCCTAAGTATATTTGTTGGTTTGTCAACTTCACACCTGTGTTTAGGGGTTCCACAAACGGGTAAACGTCTTTCTTCCCTTTATTATTATGTTTTACAGATTAAACATGAAAATGCAGCAGAGAGGGTTCGGGTGATCCTGGCACAGTCAGGCTGGTAAGGCTCATCATCAGCTCAGGGCCCTAGCCCCCTCTACACGCAGCCCAGACAGCAAATGGGACTTCTCCCAGGAAACACTGCCTAGTCGAACCCACCAAGAACTTTCCGGAGAATATGAAGGCTCCCCAACACTGCAGCCTTCTGCATTACCCAGAGTGTCAGAAGGGCTGTGCTCCTGATGGAGAACCCGGGCACTCTCCTGATCTGCACCAAGAGATCAGGAGGTACCAAACCAAGGGCACCGAGAACAATGGGGAGCCTGACGACAATGTACTTGGGATGCAAGCGAGACATTTCAAAGGCGAGGTCTGCATATTTATCATGCTTTTCCTGAATCTTGCCAATCACACTGCTATTATTATTATTTTTATTATTATTATAGGATATTTATATAGCGCACATATCAATGCAACTAGTCCATGCTCAAGGCGCTGGTATTTTCCCATAGATCATGGGATGTCAATCTCAACGGCACATCAGTATTATCAATCTCAACTCCTTTGGGAGTATACAACTCTTGCAGCCACTAGGCACACCGAGTTATTGTGGCTTTCTCATCCTACGAGGTTTCACACAACCAGCTGCTTTTATATTAAAACAGTTTTTAACCTTCCTCACTCATTCACTCACTCATTCATGACTGTCTCCGTGGTGGAGTGGTTAGAGCGACCACCCAGAGAGCGGAAGGTCGCGGGTTCGATCCGCGTCCTACCAAAGATGTTAAAATATGGTACTTGTTAGTCCATGCCTGGCGCTCGAAATTAATGGGTACAACATTGACTGGTCGGCTCGGTGTCAGTATAATGTGTCTGAGTGGGGTATTCATGCTTCACTGTGGCATGTTATCTCAGTGGGCTAGCACTATAAAACCAGCTTAAGTCTGGGCTAGTACAAGCAGCCGCACATACACACACATGCACCTCATCATATGAGCAAAATATTCTTAAGTACGATGTTAAACCCCATTTCGCCTCACCTCACTCACTCACTCACTCAGTCACCCATTCATGCATCCAATCAGTTAACTATTCATTCACTTATCCACTGCAAACTCCCTCTAACCACTTATCCACTCACTCACACTAGCCTCTCATCTGGGTGAATGAGTTAAATTTATTGTCTGTCTGGCATTGTTTTCAGCCATATTGTGACAAAGGTATAACATCATAGCATAATATATGAATCTTATAAAGTATATATTGCCTGGAATTTTTATTTTGGACCAACACCAGATTACAATAAGTGTTGTGACACCATTTTGACAATCTTCACCAACAATGAATAATCACAAACTAATATGGAAAATTAAACTAACATGGAAAATTAAACTTGTAAGTGTTGTGTGCAAGTATTTGCAAATCAAGATACTTGTAAGGTGTACGTTTGTCAAGTACAAGTAGATTCTTCAAAAAATGAGAACAATCGTTCGATGGACGAAAAAACATTTGCACAGCGCTACTAAACTGATTTAGAATAAACATGAAACACATATTCTTTAGAATTTCCAAAAGGAACTCGACTTCTTCCTTAAATGAAAATGATTCATTTACTAAAATATATCAGCTTACATCACAGTCTCTGATTAAGTATGTGGAGTAATTATTTCATGAAAAATATTTAAATATGTGGAGTAATTATTTCATGAAAAATATTTTATTTTATGAGCATGTAAAGTGTGGTACACTTGTTTCAGAAACAGATTCAAATGGGATATTTTTCTTTCAAAATTGATAAAAATACATTCACAAATTGTCATGATTACTGCGACAATTTCAATAGAGCCCTGAAGGGTGCTTCAGAATATGTCTGTAATAAAAACAAAATATTAAAATTAAATGGTCACCCTGAAATGCCTTGTCAAATATTGATAACACAACCATGAATAAAAACATTACCTAATAAAATTCCTTGATATACCCAATACCACATAACAAGAATGCATTGTAATACATGAAGAGTCCTCAAAACAGCACATATCCCTCCAATCTGGTGCCAATTAAAAATAAATTATGGTAACGAATTGTAATTGTGACAGAATGAAAGTCAGGAACTGTAATGCAAAGGAAGAAGAGAAGTAATTTAATTACAATTTTCTCTTCTCCGTGGTGTGGTGTGGTGTGAGTTGGCAGCGACTCATCGCGGGGGGTCGGCTTATGTACGAAACATACCATTTTGACACTCATTTCAAGGGTCAAACTAGGGGGTCAGCTTATCTACGGTAATATACGGTAACTATCGGGTAAATCATAAGAAGATATCTCAGCTTTCATTTATGGCTCACAAATATAAAGCTTACGACACAAGTAGTTTCACAACAGGTCTAAATGGTATCTGAAAGACACTAATGCAGTAATCTGTTTCATAAAACCCCTAAAATCACACCAGTTTTGGATTATAGTTCAGACAAACTTTATGGATAACAACTTCTATATTTTGTAAGTGTGATGTTTCGACACAGAGCCTTGTACCTGCTTAACAACAGTTCAAGAATCTGTATCAAAAGGTCGCACTCACTAAATGAAGAAGATGTTATCCATAAACTTTGTCTCATTCTCACTCAGTCAATATTGTACTTCCCATCTTCTATATTGTACTTCCCATCTTCTATATTGTACTTCCCATCTTCTATATTGTACTTCCCATCTTCTATATTGTACTTCCCTTCTATATTGTACTTACATTCTCACTCACTCAATCATTTCTCAGATCAACAGGACCCATGAAGATCCGGGTTAGAATAGGTCTTCAGCAACCCATTCTTGCCACAAAAGGCGACTATGCGTCGCGTAAGAGGCGACTAACGGGATCGGGTGGTCAGGCTCGCTGACTTGGTTTACACATGTCATCGGTCTCCAATTGTGCAGATCGATCCTCATGCTGTTGATAACTGGATTGTCTGGTCCCGACTCGATTATTTACAGACTTGGTTTACACATGTCATCAGTCCCCAATTGCGCAGATCGATCCTCATGCTGTTGATAACTGGATTGTCTGGTCCCGACTCGATTATTTACAGACCGCCGCCACATAGCTGGAATATGTCTGAGTGCAGCGTAAAACTAAACTCACTCACTCACTCAGATCAACAGCGATATCAATGATCTGTGCAACTCAGATACGATGTGTCAGCTTGTACACAAAACCCAATCCTGTTATTCACCTCTTACGACAAGCATGGGTTTCTGAAGAGCAATTCTAACGAAAATTCAGAAGGAAGCAGGGTCATTGGGCAGCCTAGCCTTGCCGAAGATCCTGATTCAATTCCCCACATGGGTACACTGTGTGAAGTCCACTTCTGGATTCCCCGATATTGATGGAATATCGCTAAAACCCACGTAAAACCATACTCATTCACTCATTATAAACAGGTGAGCTAAATGTAAAAATTATGGATTTTCATATTGTCTCATTTGATTCATCTGCCAGTATTCCGGGAAACATGGCATGCCAGTGGAAAGGCAGCACTGGAACTTGAGGTCTTGGAGGGAACAGCTGGAACAGACAATCACATCAGCTTCAGTTAACATTGTAAGGCACATCCTCGATAATCTCAAGGGTATACAATCCGATAAATCTCCAGAAGTACCCTGGATGCATCTACAGCTCAGCCCAATAAGTGCATTACCTCCGCCTTCTCACAGTAGCCAATCAGATACCGGTAAGCTGTTACAACTGAGCTTACCAGAGTCAACAACGTTGGTGGCCGCAGCCTCAAGGCATTGCTCGCTGTGCAATTCACATTTAGGGAAAATATCACAGACAAATCGACAGGTCAGAAACCTTAAAAAAAATACATGCAAGAACTCCATCTACCTCTTTCAGAATACCTCTGCAACATTTGTCCAAACCGTCGCCATATAGCTGGAATATTGCTGAGTGCGGCATAAAAGTAAAACTCACTCACTGCAACAATTGTGTTGCCAAGTTTAATCTGTTAGATAAAAGAAGTGGAAGTAAGTTATGATAGAAGCCTTGTTACTGCTACACTCAACTTCCCAGCATAGACACCTGATTGGATAGGAAGCAAGTGAAGGGAGGTAATAATATTATGGGGCTGAGTCGTAAATGCATCTAGGATGGGTAAGGCACGGTCCATAAATGTCACCAGGGCGTACAATTTGGTAAAACAGTCCTTTGATCAATGTGTTATGGGTGAAAATCATTTAAAGGTAAATTTTCAGAATCAAGAGAATCAAAAGTGTATTTTTGGTCACAATCCCAGACACCCCTCACAGAACTGAAATGGCCTACTCGAGTTCGTTGGGATATGAACGTTTCGAGAATAGCTAGCCAGGTCACCAGCTTTAGGAGCAAAATTATTAGTGATGTGCATTTGAATGTGACAGCATTGAGATATCACTCAATCCTCTCGGATGGAAGCCAAGTTGGGATGGTAGAGAAATGACATCTCGTAGTTCTAAGATACAGCTATCAAAATGATTTATTTTGTGATAATGGTGGGTGGAAACCTAGTGGTTAGAGTGCTAGCTTGTGATGGTGGGGTCAGGGTTTGGTTCTCTACATGGGCATGTGCTGAAGCCAGTTTCTGGTGCCACTGTGTCAAGGTAAGGTGGAAGGCAACATTAAAGCTCGCACGCTCACTCACTTACTCACTCATAGACGAACACTTATATATATATATGTGTGTGTGTGTGTATGTGTATATATATATATATATGTACACTTCTTATATATGTGTGTATGTATGTGTATAGACTAATACTTATATATATGTGTTGGTATGTGTGTGTGTATATATATATATGTATGTATGTATGCTCACTCATAGACTAACACTTATATATATAAATGTATGTGTGTGTGTATATATGGATATGTATGTCATGTATAACACTTATGTATGTATGTATGTATGTATGTATGTATATATATATATGTATGTATGTATGTATGTATGTATGTATGTATGTATGTCGCTCTATCACTTATTCACTCATAGACTAACATATATATATGTATATGTATGTATGTGTGTATATATATGTGTGTGTGTATATATATATAAATATGTATGGTGTGTGTATATATATATATATATATATATATAAATGTGTGTGTGTGTTGGTGTATATATATATGTGTGTGTGTATGTGTGTGTATGTGTATATGTATGTAAGTGTGTATGTGTGTATGTATGTGGGTGTGTATATATATATGTGTGTGTATGTTGTATGTGTGTGTATGTATGTACTCATAGACTGTGTATGTATGTATGTGTGTGTATGTATATATATGTATGTGTGTGTGTCTGTGTATGTATGTATGTGTATGTGTGTATATATGTATGTTGTATGTATGTGTGTATGTATGTGTGTGTATGTATGTATCGTGTATATATGTATGTATGTATGTATGTGTGTGTATGTATGTATGTCTGTATGTATGCATGCATGCATGTCTGTAAGCATGCATGTCTGTATGTATGTATGCATGTCTGTCTGTCTGTCTGTATGCATGCATGTATGTGTATGTATGTGGATGTGTATGTCTGTATGTATGTATGTATGTATGTATGTATGTATGTATGTATGTATGTATGTATGTATGTATGTATGTATAGTATTTGCAGCATACTACCTATAATACTTCACTACTTAACCATTCATCCTGAAGAGTATTTAATGTCTTACCTTTAGCAGAAGACTGTTCAAATTTCTCCAGAAACTTGTTTTTAATTCTGGAACAAAGACAAACAACAAGCATAAGACACAGTTTAAATCATTAACCATTGATGAACATATACAAATATCAACATCAGCCTTGAAAATGAAATGAATATTGGCTGAGAATACAAAATTTCGCATAAATGCTTTTAAAAAAAATAAAAATATGACATTATATGGCTGAAATATTGAAACATGTTTTGAAGCTGGAAAAGTTTCTGACTATTCTTGCATCCCTAACTTTGACATGGCACCTTTACTTCATCGAACAAGATTTGTATTTCTTATCAAAACATCCAATCAGATTTTTCCTTGCACTCTGACCCGTGAAGATACGGGTTAGAATTGATCTTCAGTAACCCATGCTTGTCGTAAGAGGCGACTAACAGGATCGATTGGTCAGGCTCGCTGACTTGGTTGACACATATCATCGGTTCCCAATTGCGTAAATCATGCTTATGCTGTTGATCACTGGATTGCCTGGTCCAGACTCGATTATTTACAGACTGCCGCCATGTTGCTGGAATATTGCTGAGTGCGGCATTTAACAACATCCTAACCCAACCTTGCCCTCTGACAACAAGGTGAATACTCCAACATATCCATTTCATCGTCTTCAGATAGTGAGTATTGATTCATAGGTTGTTGCTTATATTAGGTATTGACTGTTTTTGGGGGTATTTATTACATTTTCACTTTCTTTAGTCTTCTACTGTATATTTTCAAACCAATGACTAGAGAAATAAATCTATTTAAACTTTTCTACATGATTTTTAATTTGCATCTGTTCATGTTTTGCCCCCATGTGGTTCATGTTGAGGGGCGGTGGGGCAGCCTAGAGGTTAAGGCATTCACTCTTCACACCAAATGAATTGATTGATGATGTTGAACAAAAATAGACAGCATTTTTAATTCCATTTATATTTATCTACGAAAATTTAATCTATAAAAGTAATAAAAACTTAAAAGCCTTGCCTGTCCATTTCTTCATGTTTCTTGGCATCCTCTCTCTCAGCCCGAAGCTTATTTTCCTCTGTCTGCAAACAGAAAATAGCAATCTCAGATGTCATTGTTTCAGATCATCATTAAAAATCACCTTCACCTTGATTCAGGGATAAAGGAAAAAAGTCTTATTTGACACATTCAACATCTGGATATGTTCTTCCCTATAGTTATCTCCCTTGCATAGCCTCAAATGGGCCAGATGAGGTGAACTGTCGTTGAATGCTTGTGTGCGCATCTGTCTTTTGACGGTCCGCGTGTATCTGTCTTTTAGTCACCACCAGTGGGCTTTACCTTGACTTACAAAATTAAAACCCCATCAATACATTTTACATGTTCTTGCTGGTAATCTGAAGATCTTGTAAAGTATTGATATGGTGTATTATCTAGCCTCATGTAAGAATGTCGAGTTTTGATTGGTTCACGTGACTCTGGTTAAATACCATGTACACCCGTCACTATCTGCGAGCAGGGAGTACAAGAGTCATATTATCCCGCCACGCCTCGGTGACCACGTGAAGTGAGAAAAGCGTGCATCACCAAGCCTTTAGTAACGTGCGCTGCATTGAGGTCAATTGATCAGCTGGTGTCAACATGGCATCTCACATAAATAAAAACAAGTCGAGTCAATGCGTATTGTTTTCTTTTGATTTAGTAAAAACATTTGGCTAGATAAATGCGTTATCACATCATGTCTCGGGAAATACGGGGTTTTATCAGTGCCTCTGGTTCAGGGAATACAACCTTACTCAGGACTGATAAAACCCTGTATTTCCCGAGACACGATGTGATAACTTATAGTGAAGTGTATGTTGAGATAATTACTTCAGAGCCTGGAATGTATCAGTGGTCATGTGGACAGTGTTCATGACTTATGGTTGGAATTATAGACACTGACAGCATTTTACCCGACGCACAAATATGCGCCCCTTGCGCACATGTGTGAGTTCAGAAGAACTGTTTGTAAAGATAGAATATTTGAGTGTGTTTTGTGAACATTCACGCAAACATGAAACATCATAGTATTTTGGTTATTGCCAAGTATTAAATTGCCTCTCCTTAAATTAGTATTAGCGAGTGGTCATATATTCAACAGCCTATTGTTACTTTCTATTTGAAACTCGCCAGCTGTATTGTCAATGCTTTCATTCATTCTTTCCTTGTAGTCACATTAGGGCTATATCAATGTGAAAGGTGTATCATCTCTATGCATTTGCGCAAAACAAAAATAGAAATGAGAGTGAATATAGATTAGTAACAGTGTTTAGAGTATATTTTATAGAATGCTGGGTAACAGTGGGTATGAATCCCAAATGAATCTCAATTAAATAAGTACAATAATTTCTACTTCACTAACAACATTTGTTCCATTTAACCCCGAATGGGCTTGTGTATTTAGAAGGACGTGGAGTCACCCCCTCAATGACATCCTTATGTTGTCAGCTTGCTGACGGGCTTAACCTCGTTCATGTGGACAAGGCGTCCGACTTTGGATCAAAAGGTGTGTGGTTTGAATCCCCAAAATTTTAAGGTCGTTACATTTATTTATTTAGTCTCCTGAAACTAAAACATGTTTTGACTCACCTTCCTTCTGCCATCCATCTTCTTCTTCAAGAACTCTTCCTCCTGATGCCTCTTCTCTTCCTCCTTTCTCTTTTTCCGTTGCTCCTGGCAACAAGAGATGTATCATGTGTACAATGCTACAGCAACACTGTATCGATACTAGTGTTAGGAATTGTTTGAAAGCTCATAATTGATAATTGGTTGAAAGCTAACAATTGATAATTGGTTCATTACCAACGAACAATCATTAAATAATTGGTTAGCATCATTTTTCAGATTTTCCTATTCAGGTTGTTATTGCAGATAAGTATAACATGCTGTTTTGTTTTATTTGGCAACTGCTAAATATGACGTTTCAGTAAGTGAAGTGAGCTTTCTAAGAATTCATTTTCAGGCCTTGACAACTTCAAAGATATGTTCCATTGTCAGGTGTTTCAAACACTAAAACAGTAGTTCCAAAATCGTTTGTGTTCGATCATGAGAAATTGTGATCGATTGCTTGGTCAATTGGTCACTGCGACCAATCTTCTATTATTTCAATTAACTGGAACACCGCTAATCGATACAAACTTCACAATACAATATATCAATTTACAACTGCATCACAATAATTATCATACTTCACATTAAAAGTTATATTGGTGTTAAAACACATGAATAATTAGAGAAACTGTTCAAGAACTAGTTTCTTCATTTCTGTATTATTTGCTATTGGGCTGTAAATAGAAGAATCTTCACAGTGTCCCTAAGCTTATGATTCTCACTACAATATCCTATGTTTGTCTGGGGCGGTGGGGTAGCCTAGTGGTTAAAGTGTTCACTTGTCACGCCGAAGACCCGGGTTCGATTCCCCACATGGGTACAATGTGTGAAGCCCATTTCTGGTGTCCCCTGCCATGATATTGTTGTTATGTTGCTAAAAAGGGCTAAAACTAAACTTGGTATATTTGTCTGTCTGAAAGAAAACATTATACAGGGCCGTGATTTACCTGCAGAACAAGAGAAATTTCAATATGACACTAAGTATGATATAGATGACACTAACCAACATGCTGTACTTGGCATTGGCATTCTTCATCACCATATTTCTCCTCACCTCGCTCTCCGTCATCTCCCCTCCTCCTGAAACAGACACAGTGATAATGTTATGATTATACCACGGACAGTGAAACATATTTAGTCAAGATTGAAATTTTTGCTAAATTTGTGACATACTGGAACAGGCAGCTTGGGTTATCCGGGGCAGTAATGATCCAGCGGTGTGAGCATGTTGTCGGTGTGATGTAGTGCCATAATAATGGACTAATTATGAGTGAGTGAGCAAGTGAGCGAGTGAGTGAGTGGGTTTAATGTCGTGCTTAAGAATATTTCGCTCATATGACGACGTGAATTCATGTGTATGTGCATGTGCGGCTGCTTGTACTAGCCCAGACTTAAGCTGGTTTTATAGTGCTAGCCCACTGAGATACCATGCTGCAGTGAAGCATGAATATCCCACTCAGACACATTATACTGACTCCGAGCCGACCAGTCCTTGTACCCATTAATGCCGAGCGCCCCGCAGGGACCAACAAGTACCATATTTTAACGTCTTTTGGTATGACGCGGTCGGGGATCGAACCTGCGACCTTCCGCTCTCCGGACGGAGTGAGTGAGAGTGAGTGAGTGAGAGCAAAAAAAAATGATTAATTTTCCAAACTTTTCACATGTTCATCTCAGTGTTTCTAAATGATAATTGGTTAATGAAATATGACCTGGCATAACAAATTAACTTCATTAATCAATCTGACCAACAGACAGCCTTCAGTGAGTCTTCACTGTACAGTTTTTATAAGCATGTTTCTTCACTCTTTCTCTTCTTTTGTCAATGTGTCATACATAAAATATACTTCCTTGAGCCTCTGAATTGCATATAGGGTGAGGAGGACATGTAATGAGGTAATTTGTTCTCAGGTCTTAAAACACAAAAATAAGGTTTACATTCATGTTTGTTGTTTAACACAACACTCACTGATATTCCATCTATAGATATGATGGTGATGTGTAAATAGTGATGAATTGAAGACTCTGGATTAATGCCATTTACTCTCGACAATTAAACTGTAATTCTTCTTAGCTCGGAGGTTATTCTCTAATTATAACTGACATGAGTATGTTCAGATCACCCCCATATACACGGACATACCGTCACTCACTGCATGTCAGTACTGTGTATTGATGAGGCGTTACATCCCTTATGTCTCACCTACTGTTCCGTGATATGAGACGTGGCCAGGCTTGTTCTCAGCTTTGTGTCGCTCATAGGCTTCTGTCTCACGTCGTGCCTCTGTACATTCGAAGGAGAGAACAGACTATTAAGGAAGTGAGTGAGTTTAGTTTTAATGCTGCTTTTAGTAATATTCCAGCAATATCACGGTGAGGTACACCAGAAATGGGCTTCACATATTGCACCATGTGAGGAATCGAACCCGGATCTTTGGCATGACGAGTATATGCTTTAACCACTAGGCTACCCCACTGTCCCAACTAGTAAGTAATCATTTATCATGGTGTTTACATAACTACCATTTGAGATGTACTGTAACAGGGTTGGGGTAAGGGGTGGAGTATCTATGGGGATGGGGTTGAAATGAGTCAATTAGTCCTCAAGTTTTAAAAACAGAATAATACTGTTTACGTTTGTTGTTTAGGCCAGACCAATTTTATTTCTTGTCTTACGGCTTTTTGACCTCAGAAAACCTAAAGCCAGGAAGGAATTTTTTATTTTTTAAATCCCAAGTCAAAGTAATTTTACGCCGCTTTTAGCAATATTCCAGCAATATCACGGCAGGGGACACCAGAAATGGGCTTCACACATTGTACCCATGTGGGGAATCGAACCTGGGTCTTCGGCGTGACGAGCGAACACCGTAACCACTAGGCTACCCCAACGCCCCTCATGAGCAGTGATCGGGGATGTGATGACATGCAACCATATCAGTAAAACTGACCACACAATCCTTTCACTAGTCTGTCATACAGACACTCAAACAAATGTATCTAAGAAAGACCATGCAAGTCTAGATTACCAAAGTTTCAAGAAATGAATATAGTCTCTGGGCTCCTTTTTATTCTATTTTATGGGTATAATTTAGGAACCGTTTTAGGTGTAAACTGTATTTTATCAGAAACTAATTGTTACTCTATTCGAGCACCGGAAGCACAGATTTCTGAATTCAATTTACAGGGAGAATTGCAGAAAGCATCAGTTGCGATTAGCAGTGAAATAACACAAGAATAGTTGGGGCATCTGAAATGATAAGGTTTCAAACTATAGATATAAAACAGTATAAGAAGACTGTTTGAGTTCATTATAACCATATTTAGGGTACCTTTATTACCATCACTTTAATAGTAAGAGAAAGCCAAAGGAAATTTTTCTAAATAAAATGTGTGTTAGCAAAACGTTTAGCAACTTTCCGGAGCAATCCCACTGCAACAAGCACCACAAAAGGGCTCCTCACATTGTACCCATGAAGGGAATTGAACCCAGGTCTTTGGCATGACGAGCAAATGCTTTAAGCTACCCCAATGCCAAATGTTCATAAACAAAGTGAATAATGTTATTGATACCCACGCTCAGAAATCTGTTGCCTTTTCTTCTCATTTGGACTGATAACAGAATATCCTCCTTGACTGTCAACATAACGAAGAACATTATAATCAGATTAAATACATCCAAAACAACATTTGCAACATCATTTATTCTCACCCACTAATCAAGAGAAGAAGCTGATTATTAATCATATGCAAAATGAGAGATGCAGGCATGGGACCTGTCATTGCATTATGCTGACGTCTTTCGTTGCTATGATACCTTTTTCATGTCTTTTCTAACACACAATACATGTGAGTGAGTTTAGTTTTACGTGCTTTTAGCACTAATCCAGCAATATCACAGCAGGGGACACTAGAAATGGGCTTGTCACATTGTACCCATGTGGGGAATCAAACCCTGGTCTATGGCATGACGAGCAAAAACTTTTACCACTAGGCTACCCCTAGTCTGTCTCACAGTCCCTGAAACACATTATTTTCCCCACTGCCAAGCCCTCTCTGCAGTGCTAAAGCCCTAAATAAAGCAAGTCTAGATTTCCTCAGGTTCTGAATCTCTGGTCTCCCTAGGGCTCCTTTTCAATATAAATGGGCTTGTTTGTTACTATCAAAATTATATATATTCAGAGACTAAGCCTTAGTCTAGGCTACCCCCAACGATAGACCCAACCCCACACTCCCCTTTTATTCACCTCTCACTGATAGTCTGTTTGTTTGTTTGTTTGTTGTTTAACTCCACACTCAGCAGTATTCCAGATATATGGTCTCTAAATAATCAAGTCTGGACCTGACAAACCAGTGATCAATGAACATGAGCATCGATCTACACATTTGGGACACGATGACATATGTCAACCAAGTCAGCAAGCCTGACCACCCAATCCTGTTATTCGCCTCTTACAACAAGCATGGGTTAGTGAAGGTCAATTCTAACTTGGATCTTCTCGGGTCAACTAACTGTCACTGTGTCAGTTTTTCATAGCAATCCTCACCCTCTCCCTTCTTGATCTTATTGCAATTCCTCCCTATACAAATGACCCCAGGATGAAGCATATTATAGTCTACTTAACACACATGATTTCTACTGAACAGAAATCTGTGAATGTGTTAAAACAAGGTATGATGTGTCCTGTCATCAGTTATAATCCATTTCACTGGTAAAATTTACAGCACAGGGTTTTAGACCAGGTGACAAAGCCCACAGACTGTTGTAATGTTAAACTACAGCACTGTATGTGTGTCAGGATAGCTTTGTGAGGATAGTGACACGAGTTAGTCACTTATAAATACTTATTTTCATTTAAGTTTACCAAAGACGTATATACACGTCTTTGAGTTTACTAAACAATAAAATTAATTCAAAGAATGTTAGAAAGTTTTTTAAAAACTAAAATGTTCCCAAGACGTTTGTTTCCTGAAAAATAACTGATTAGTTATATGAAATTAAGTAAACATAATTAAATTATGTACTAGAATCTATAAATTTATACTTTAAGCTTACTGAGACATTGTCTGTTCCGTCCCCCCTTCTGCTCCGGTCGCACCCCCGTCTTCCCCCTCGCCAGGTCTTGGGGGGAACGTCCCTCCTCGTCTAGGGGGATATGCTCCTCCCCGTCCCCCTTGCGATCCCATCTCGCCTGGATTGTACATCCCTCCTCTCGGTGACGGATTTACTCTGCCCCGAACTGACCGACTGTTGACAGCCCCTCGTCCCGTGGTTGTCCCTCGTCCTCGAGCCCCACCCCTGGCGGCAGTTTGGTTTCCTGGGCCCCTGGTAGATCCGCGGGTCCTGCTAGAAACTGATGGACGTGCGGGGAATGTCTTACTCATCGTGCTACTTTCACTTTCTCTTCTCGGATTCAGTTTCGGTATCTCTAAATATATGATCTGTTGACGTTTGCGTTGTTGGGGAATCCCTAAGCTGGTTCACGGCTCCTTGTGCGCGTCTTCATACTTACGATTTTAAGAGACGGGACCCAGCGTTGGGGAATCCCCCCGCATACTAAAGCGTCATCTAGCGGAAGGCTGTATATGGGAGGTAATAACTATTCATTGCTTCAGTGAACACACACTCCGGCGCAGTGATGGCTTAGCGTAACATCACTGCCACAGGCTAATTTGCATATCACGTGACCGGACTTATTTGTAAACAAACGCGCATATTCATTATAAGAAGAGACTGATTTGTTTGAGTGGCATTTAAGAAGTTGAGACGTACAATATAGAACAAGTTTTATGGATAACAACTTCTTTATTTCGTGAGTGCGACGTTTCGATACAGATTCTTGTACCGTTGTCAAGCAGGAGTGATACATGAAGTGTAGGAGCTGCATATTTCATATTTCATTGTTATATACAGTATACATATGCAGCTCCTACACTTCATGTAAGTTGTGACCTAAATTTCTGTTAAAGTACTTAAATGCTACCGTAGAACGTAATGCACTTTCAGAACCTTCTTAAATGTGATCATAACTTTTGAAATAAAGCTCGTAACTTGTCAAGCGGACCATCGTCTGCTAGAATGAAAAGAACCGCATAAACATCACGTGACTCTAATAGAATGTTGCCGACGTAATAAAAAAAACTATGGAAGAGCGAATTGGTCATCTCTTACATATCTTTTTCTCGTGGTGCAGAATTCGTCTCGGCTTGTGACCACTGGGTTAATTTAAAATACTGATGCGATGTCACTGTACTGCGCAGACATGACATGTTTTATCATGTTTATTGTCCCGTGCCAAGAAGAATGAATGTGCACATGATTGAATAACTTACCTGTAAATATGTTATTTTTATCTTCACCAAAAAACACTCAAAAAATCAAGAAAGAAATGACCAGTTTGCAAGACTTTTCATTAAAATGCCACGTTGTATTTGTTGACGTCTTGGGAGAAGAATGCATCACCTGGGCTTCCATACAAGGTCGTGACCCCGCGCTATAACGAGTAACCCGAAAACACGGTACATGTACATCACTTCTCCCGCTCGCGCTGGCGGACAGACACAAAATGTTCACTGCATTGGAAACCAGCGGACGACAGAACATTCTGACAATACATTTATGAAAGGTGATATGATATTTAATTACGGAATTACAGTTTTGATAATCTACTGATACGCAATAATTTACATGGTCATCTTTTGCGTTATTACCCCGAAAACATAGTATGTGATATGGTCACGAATATGATATTCCGTTTATTACCGAAGTCGTCAAATTGAGGAAAATAAACCCAAATCTGCTTTGAAACACAGGCTGGCTTCCCGCCGTCGCCCGCATGTAGAACGCAACGTCACAGATGAAACGTGACGTCATAGCATTGTTCATGACAAAGTGATATGTTGCCCTATAGTCCTAGAGATAAGGCCTGATTTATTTACCTCAGAGATCCAAAAGGTTTGAACATTGGTTCCTGTGGAAAAATGTCTGAAGTTTCAGAATATGTAAGTCTTACGAGTAAACATTTGACCAATTTTTCGCTAGAGGGCGCTGAATTCATGACTAAGCATTTTTTTTCACCCACTACCCCCTACTGGAAATGTTCACCTTTTGCATATGAAATACAAAGAAAGGGTGACATATTATATAGGGCTGCGCAATATAACCAGTTTACCGGTATTTACCGGTTCAGACATGAAAGCGATGCGTATTTCGATACGCTGATCGAAAACCGGTATTTTGACATGCATTCGGAAAACTTCGTAACACTCGGGATCTTCGTATATTTCCGTTTTATAAATTGTTCCTTTCCCTTTTTTATTTGTGCCAAGTATTATTTACATTTTTATTTTGTCATGATTAAAAGTTTTTATTAAAGCTTAATCAAGCATGGTCATTTTGTTGTGTTTTTGCTTTATGAATCAAGCATTAACTCGATTATAAGTAGTTTTTTTGTTAAAAAAGAACTTCTTGCAATATACATTGTATTGCAATACATATCGCAGTATACGCTTTCGCATCGCAATATATCGCAATATGAAAATTCTCTGCAATACCAAGCCCTAATATTATACATAATATGAAAGCCAACACATTTGGCTTTAATAAAATCATAACATTAAGTACATCTTTGAACTCACTACTGAAAAGACAAAAAATTGTAAAACGCACATCTTTCGTTTTTCACTATATATACAAATAAACCATTGTTCAAACCCTTTGGACCTCTCGGGGTAAATAAATGGACCTTATCTCTTGGACTACTAGGTAGGTAATAAATTATGAACGGTCCTTTACTGAGCAATAATATGAGTAACATTTAATCATTCTGTCAGTACTGAATGCTTGTTACACAACTACCAGTTTTTAGGTCAACGTTGTTGATGGTCCTCTAGTGGTACAACGAGTGAGAATGGTTTTACGCCGCTTTTAGCAATATTCCAGCAACATCACGACGGGGGGTAACACCAGAAATGAGCTTCACACATTGTACCCATGTGGGGAATAAAACACGGGTCTTCAGCGTGAGGAGTGAACGCTTTAACCACTAGGCTACCCCCACCGCCCCTGAGCACGCCAGAACCTGTGGTGGTAGGTTCGAATCCCGGTTCGTCCTGGTCATGTTTGTAGCTTTGTCAACAATATGTCCGTAGTGATAAACATCCAGGACATGCATCTCGTTGGGCTTTCCGTCCACAGCAAGCTGACACGCCGTGAGTGAGTGAGTGAGTTAGGGTCTACGCCGCTTTTAGCAATATTCCAGCGATATCACGCCGGGGTCACCAGAAATGGGCTTCACACATTGTACCCACGTCAGGAATCGAACCCCTGGCTTAGGCGTGACGAGCGAACACTACCCCACCGCCCGTCATGATGGAAGGAGAAGACTGTTCATGAAATAGGGCGGTGGGGTAGCCTAGTGGTTAAAGCGTTCACTCGTCACGCTGAAGACCCGGGCTCGATTCCCCACAAATACTAGATTCTGTAGTATTTACTGATGGGTTGTAAATAGCAGAATCTGCACAGATGTCCCCAAGCTTATGATTCTCACTACAATATCCTACCTTTGTCTGGGGCGGTGGGGTAGCCTAGTGATTGAAGTGCTCGCTCGTCACGCTGAAGACCCGGGTTCGATTCCCCACATGGGTACAATGTGTGAAACCCTTTTGTGGTGTCCCCGCAGTGATATTGCTGGAATATTGCTAAAAGCAGCGTAAAACTAAACTCATTCACTCACTCAAAATGGCAATAAACAATCTCATTCACGTAAGCAATACAAACTGAACGATTATTGATTTGAAGCACTAAGTGCTGACACCAGATTAAAGTGAACCGCACGCTCCTATTGTTAGTCGAGTTTTAGCCAGTGGAAAACGTTATCAAGCTGGAGATTGTCACCGCCTCCTCTGCAGATACTACAGAACAATGAAGGACACTTGTTATCTGCTAAGATATTGAAGCCCTTCAGATTGATTCTAAACATGACTGACTGAATTTGGTTTTACGCCGCTTTAGCAATATTCCAGCAACATCACGGCGGGGGACACCAGAAATGGGCTTCACAAATTGTACCCATGTGGGGATTCGAACCCGGGTCTTCGGCGTGACGAGCCAACGCTTTAACCACTAGGCTACCCCACCGCCCCTTCTAAACATGAAGTAAGGGTGTTTCAAACCTCAGTTTTATTTCTTTTGTATAGACGTCTTTGTTGATGATCTGTGATATTCAATTATATAATGTTTAAATGAGTTTATAAGAAAACAATTCCATATTTGTGTTCTTCTACACATAGATGTTTTCGGCAAAAGGATTGAAAATGTGGTCATATAACCGTGTGGTTTTTTTTTCTTAGTTTGCTTCTCGGGTAAATTTGTATGATGTCTTTAAATTGGGCGATGTAACAATTCACTTTACAATATCAAATGTGGCCACCAATATTTGTTTTTCAAATATCAAGCAAAGATTGGCCTGACTGAACTAAGTCAAGCAAAGATTACCCCACCGCCCCTCGCACTCAGCAATATTTCAGCTATACGGCGGCGGTCTGTAAATAATCGATACTGGACCAGACAATCCAGTGATCTACATCATGAACATCGATATATGCAATTGGGATACGATGACATGTTTCAACCAAGTCAGTGAGCCTGACCACCCGATCCCGTTAGTTGAGTCTTACGACAAGCATGGGTTGCTGAAGACCAATTCTAACCCGGATCTTCACGGGTGTCTTGTCCTGGCGTCATGAAGAACACTGTAGGGTGATGCAGGTGTGCGTTCCAAAAGTCTGTGCAGGTGCGTGTGTGCAGGTGCGTGTGTGCATGTGCATGCACATTGCTGTTGTAGAGTTAGCATACGGAAACACCGTGTTACATATCAAAACATTATTCCGAGCGAATCCGTAATTGCTTTACCCTTTTCCCATTCATACCCAAGCCTGGATACCAACAGCCATGTTTAAGTATGACGGGGTATCCAACCAGATGCCTCAAGACTGAGGCGGTTGTGACGATATTTTATGGGCTTTGATTGTAGGCTAGTTTGTGGCCAAAATGGACTTCGAACATTTTACAAGAGCAGAATCGACCCAGAATGAGGGGAGGTGAAGTGAGGTGAGGTGAAATTGGGTTTTACGTCGTGCTTGAGAATATTTCGCTCATATGACGACGTGCATGCGTGTGTATGTGTATGTGCGGCTGCTTGTACTAGCCCAGACTGAAGCTGGTTTTATAGTGCTCGCCCACTGAGATACCATGCCTCAGTGAAGCATGAATACCCCACTCAGACACATTATACATACTCCGAGCCAACCAGTCCTTGTCGTACCCATTAATGCCGAGCGCCACGCAGGGACCAACAAGTACCATATTTTAACGTCTTTTGGTATGACGCGGTCGGGGATCGAACCCGCGACCTTCCGCTCTCCCGAACCAGAATGAGCATAACGAGCGGAAGCTTAAACCACTGGGGCTACTCCTTTGCCCTTTGTTTGAATACCAGAGGGATCCATGTACCAATACAGCTGGAAATGCATCTGGATCCAATAGAATGATGTTTGCACGTGAGAAAGATTCACTCTTCGCGTAATGGGAAAATGTTATGCAGCTGAACCCTATTGTTATGGGTTGCGTTTTCTATGGCCGACATTTGGATCACATTAGTACTATAGGGGTCCTCTATACTACTTACATTACAGTACCCGGGGCAGTTAATGATCAGTGTTATCAACAGCTGCAGGAACTACTGGGTACCGCATTCGTGCCGCATTGAGATAAACCATCCCTTGTCAGTAGTCCAATGGCCTGGATGACAACACTTGACCACGTGCACGCCTTCAGCGCCCATTTGCTTACGTCGCCATCGATTGTCAGGAACTGATGTGGTCACCAGTGATGGTTCATGTAATAATAACTGTGCCAGGAATAAAACATAATAATAATAAGTATTTTGAAATGTCTCGCTTGCATCCCAAGTACACTGTCGTCAGGCTCCCCGTTGTTCTCGGTGCCCTCGGTTTGGTACCTCCTGATCTCTTGGTGCAGATCAGGAGAGTGCCTGGGTTCTCCACCGGGAGCACAGCCCTTCTGACACTCTGGGTAATGCAGAAGGCTGCAGTGTTGGGGAGCCTTCATATTCTCCGGAAAGTTCTTGGTGGGTTCGACTAGGCAGCGTTTCCTGGGGAAGTCCCATTCGCTGTCTGGGCTGCGTGTAGAGGGGCTAGGGCCCTGAGCTGATGATGAGCCTTACCAGCCTGACTGTGCCAGGATCACCCGAACCCTCTCTGCTGCATTTTCATCTTTAATCTGTAAAACATAATAATGATGCATATTTATATGTGCGCCCAATCAACCTCGACATACATGCTCAAGGCGCTACAGAGTCAAGTATGTACATATGTACAGAAGTAATACTAGAGCACATTAAGGGAGATACTGCTGGAAGAAGTAGGTTTTAAGTTTGGACTTGAACAAGTCGAAATTGTCAGTAGTTTTGAGGTCAGAAGGAAGAGAGTTCCAGAGAGTGGGGGCTGCATAGGTGAAAGAACGCAGTCCAAAAATGTTCAGTCTGAAGCTGGGCACAGTGAGGAGATCCTGGCTGTTGGAACGAAGATTGCATGAACTGGAGTATGATGACAACATGTTAGACAAGTACTGGGGAGCAAGACCATGCTTGGCTTTGTAGGTCAGACACAGTATCTTTTGTTCGATCCTGGCTTTGATGAGCAACCAGTGAAGCTCTTTCAGTACTGGCTTGATATGGCAGCGTTTAGGGAGACGATAAATGATGCGGGCAGAAGTGTTTTGGATTTTCTGGAGTCTGTCACAGAGTTTCTGAGGACTGCCAAACAATACACTGTTGCAATAATCCAATCTTGAGGTTATGAGGGCTCTGGCCAAGGCATGGGTACATCCACTGAGAGATAGGGACTGATGTTACTGATAGCACGAAGGTGAAAGTGGTAGGTTTTGCAGATCTTAGAGACTTGAGCTTTCATCGAAAGTGGGGAGTCGAGGACAATCCCAAGATCTTTTGCAGTGGAACAGACAGGGACGACAGCATCAGCTATTGTCACAGATCTGGTAGGGATTTTCGACAGCAGTTGTTTGGATCCAATCAGAAGAGCTTCGGCCTTAGTGTCATTTAGTTTCAGCATATGATTTGTCATCCAAGATTTGATGTGTCTTGTACAGTCAGAAATTCCAGCTAGACCGTCAGTGGGAATTTTGCAAGAAATTGCCTTGATGAGTTGGTTATCATCAGCATATGAATGGTGCTGCAGTTTGTGAGTTGAGATGATGTCAGCAACTGGACCAGTGTACAAAACAAACAACAGTGTCAACAATCATATTCGAGAACTGTGTGACAATCACAGAGGTGGCGTAGTCATGGTGACCATATCTTTAGGCATAACTGATATTCCCGTTTTTCTATTTTCATCTCACACTGCAACTAAATTGTCACCAAATTTCAATTTCAGCTATGTTTCTGTCTTAGTCAGAATGAAATATACCGAGGGAAACAAGTAAGGGAACACCAGTTCATGGCAGTGTTCCTTTCGGTATTCTCAGGTTTCCTCCAACGGTGCTAATCAAAGCCGGTGATGAAAACTGGAAAATATTAAAGGAACACTTTAATTTTCCCGTATTTCCTTATTTGTGACCCTCAGTATGTTAAAGGCACTATTTTATTTCCCGGTTTTGGTTTACAAAGTGTATGCAACAACATGTAGTGTTATGTATACTTACATAAATAAGCTCCCGTGAAGGTCCGGGTTAGAATGAATCTTCAGTAACCCATGCTTGTCGTAAGAGGCGACTAACGGGATCGGGTGGTCAGGCTCGCTGACTTGGTTGACACATGTCATCGGTTCCCAATTGCGCAGATCGATGCTCATGCTGTTGATCACTGGATTGTCTGGTCCAGACCAGATTATTTACAGACCGCCGCAATATAGCTGGAATATTGCTGAGTGCGGCGTAAAACTAACTCACTCACTACATAAATAAGCGTGGGTGGTGCGTCTTTAATGTTCATGTGTATATCATTTTCATGTCTGTTCACTGTTTGCGAAAGTCGACAAAATTCGACTGAACAACACCTGAAATTGAATACCTCCCTCAACTACGTGTATACTAAAGGTGTTTATCAACTTCACAAGAACTGGTATCGATGTTGCATTTATTAATTATTAATCAAATATTAGATACACACATGAAGAATACAAACCCACGTGAAAACCGATTAAGATCAAACGGGTTCAAGGTCGCGCATCTCTGAGTATTACACCAAACTTGCCGTATATCATTAAGGTTACATGATACAGATAATGTACAATGAAACATATTGTAACAACATATCATCAGTAAGGTCGGAGGGCGGTGGGGTAGCCTAATGGTTAAAACTTGGCTCGTCACGCCGAGGATCTGGGTTCCATTACCCGCATGGGCACAATGTGTTAAGCCCATTTCTGGTGTCCCCCGCCGTGAAGTTGCTGGAATATTGCTAAAAGCGGCGTAAAACTAAACTCAGTCAGTCAGTAAGGTCGGTTACTACATGGGAGAAAGCGTAATATATTTATGTAAGATTTTACAAAGTAATGCATGTCTAAAAGGCATAATGTATCCAGATCCTTCTTGACAAACAAAGCATCTGAAGTAGTAGGCGCATTTCTGAAGCGTTATCTACACGAACTTAACCTGGTAAATTTTTCAGTAAGTATACATTCAAGTTTATGCTTATAGGGTTAAAAATAGATCAAACATTTCTATTATTCAAAGACACGTTTGTGTTTTTCTATGGTAGTGAGTGAGTGAGTTTAGTTTTACGCCGCTTTTAACAATATTCCAGCAATATCATGGTGGGGGACACCAGAAATGGACTTAACACATTGTGCCCATGTGGGTTCTATGGTAGACCGACGGAATATGAAGAATGATAGTGTCGTGATTGAAGAAAAGGAGTTTAGTGGCAAACGTTGTTTAGTTTATTGTTTTATGCGGAAGCCAGACACTCAACATTCAATAAATATCCTGTTTCTCTCTACAGATGGTCTATTCAAATTATAACCATGTGGGGAATCGAACCCGTGACGAGCTGATGCTGTAATCGCTTTGGCTATCCTACCACCCCAGTGGTATAACAAAAACATTATCTCTTCAAACATCATGTGATGGAAACACCACACACACACGCGCGCACGCACACGCACACACACGCACGCACAAACAAACATACTGAATATATGGACCCCGCGTTGTGATATTTTCGTTACAAGGTTGAATCAAAAGCACTCGTCACTTCAAGCCAGTCTCAGATGTGGCAAATATCATATTCAGCGTCCCTTTATGTCATCTGACCTTCTGAAAGGTCATTGGCCAGTACCGTTACCAAATTTGAAACCCATGTTCAATCCATCGTGGACGGCAGTCAGTGTCCAAGAAAATGAACCAATTCAAATTCTTTCTTCATCTCCTGTTGATGCTGATGGTAGACGATATTGATGAACTGGTGATTTCTCTTAAACACAATCATGCTGTATTTTTCCGGTAAGCTGACTTGGGAAAATACCTGATTACGACGCACGTGACTTCTAGTTTCACTCAAGCTCCATGTCTGGGGTCTGTCATTGAGGAATATATCTGAACATAGCGCATTCCGTACATTCGCTGTTCTCATCCACACAACAAGATGGAGGGCGTGGTTCGTCTGTCACCTGAGCTCTATGATGAAGGACATTGTGACGGTGACGACGCCGACGAAGGCCCCGACGATGCCGAGGAGGAATGTGGGGCTAATGATGTCTTTGTTCTCCTTGAAGGCGCTGTCTAGACCCTCCTGAAACACGGAACATAACAATTAATTTGGATTGATTTATTTTTTGTTTGTTGGTTGTTTGCCGCAGCGCTAATATTCCAGCTCATATGTGAACGGTTTGAAAACAATCGAGCCTGGACCAGGCAATCCAGTGATTGATATCATGAGCATTGATTTAAGCAATTGGGATACGAACACATTTGTCAACAAAGTCAGCGAACCTGACTACTCGATCCCGTTAGTCGCCACTTACGACAAGCATTGGATCTTCACGGAAGGTGATGCCTGTACTATGCTGGAAATCAAAGCTTTCTTCAAACTGTCGTTTCAGGAACCTCAATTCGCTGTGCAGAGCTGCGCCGTTGGAGCAAACCAGAAAACTAGTCCGTCTGACAGTCCCTGACCCGCACTATTTCCCCTCCTGTCCACCCCCGTATGCAATGCTAAAGCCCCAAATGAAGCAAATTTAAATTTCCCCAGGTTCTGAATCTCCTTTCTCACTGGGGTTCCTTTTCAATTTAGAAGGAAATGTTTGTTTCATAATTATTATTATGTATTATTATGTATATTCAGAGTCTAAGTGTTAGACCAGCCAGAAACGTAACGCGCCTAATATGTTTTACTTAACACCATACCTCTGTTTACATTAAGACCCGTGAAGATCCGGGGTAGAATAGGTCTTCAGCAACCAATGCTTGCCACAAAAGGCGACTGTGTGTCGTAAAAGGCGACTAACGGGATCGGGTGGTCAGGCTCGCTGACTTGGTTGACACATGTCATCGGTTCCCAATTGCGCAGATCGATGCTCATGCTGTTGATCACTGGATTGTCTGGTCCAGACTCGATTATTTACAGACCGCCGCCATATAGCTGGAATATTGCTGAGTGCGGCGTAAAACTAAACTCACTCACTCACTGTTTACATTCTGCTGACAACACTGGAATGTTCAAATCCTTGTTCATCCTAGTTGTCATGGACTAAACTGTGTATTACAATTGTAACGCAAACCCCCCACCACCCCTCCGGCACCAAGGTATATACTCACTGTCACTGACGTGTGTTGTGACATTAAAGCTAGAATTGTCTTAAGTGTAGAATAATACCGACGTTGTCCTAGCGGGGCGGTGCGGTTGCCTAGTGGTTAAAGCGTTCGCTTGTCACGGCGAAGACCCGGGTTCGATTCACAACATGGGTACAACGTGTAAAGCCCATTTCTGGTGTCACCCGCCGTGATATTGCTGGCATATTGCTAAAAGAGGCGTTAAACTGTACTCATTCATTCATGTATCTTTACTCTGTTATTATATTTCCCCACATGGATACAATGTGTGAGCCCATTTCTGGTGTCCCCGCCGTGATATTGCTGGAATATTGCTAAAAGCGGCGTGAAACTAAACTCACTCATTCACTGTTATTATATAATCCCCCTTTGGGATTGCATAGCTGTGAATAGTAAATGTACATTCTTTGACAAAAGTCGTAAAGATGCGTAATGTAATGACGCACAAGCTTCAGATGTTTATAAATGTACAATCTTAATGGTTATTACCTCACACATATACACACATCGTGCGTCTGATTGATCGCACTTTTGGGGGTCATGGCCTCAGGACATACACTGGAAATGGACGGGAATAAACTGCCACACATTTAGGTGACTTGTCTCCCGTAATAAATTGATACAAATACCGAGTTTACGCTTGATTTACAGCACGAGTACTGTTCCTGTCAGGGTCGCGTGTTAGAAAGCGATAGCAACGTTAAGACGATGTCAACTCGATACTTGAACACAGATTTAAAGGAGTCGTAGTAGTGGTTGTCCGATTAATTGAAATAATCGAAGATTGGTCGCAGTGACTAAACGACCAAACAATCGATCATGTTTTCTCATAATCGAACATAAACAATTCTGGAACACTTGTTTTCATAAACAATATTTTTCACAAGATGGTTTTGTCTGTTACATTTCATAAGCACTACAAGTTCGTTTCAAGTCATGATTGAATTTATCTTAAAGACTCCCAAGAAATTTATGTTCCTGACATACTAGTCATCCTTTAAAGATGTGAAATTTTGCCAAACCACCCCCCAAAACTACATGTTTTTTCCTTATTCTTATGTGCATTAACAAATTTCATTAATGACGCTAACCAATTTTTTTCGATGATTGATCGGTTGTAATAAACCAATTATCAATTATGAGATCTTAACCAATTCCCAACACTAAGTCATAGCACTAAGGTCCCTTTGTGGAACTCAACCAAGGTCAGGCGACCCCACATGGCTCCCGTGAGCGATACAGTCACATACATTTCAAGTATTTGGATTGCAGGTAGTTTGATTGACAGGTGTCAAATGACACTCGATTCGTGTGCTTACACGACCTGTCAATCGCTCACACGCTATCGGCATGTAGATCAGTACAATTGCTTGATTCTCGGATGTATATAGGTCCATGCCAGTTCTATTAGCATGAGTGATTGAGTTTAGTTTTACGCCGCTTTTAGCAATATTCCAGTAATATCATGGCAGGGAACACCAGAAATGGGTTTCACACATTGTACCCATGTGAGGAATCGAACGCGGACTTTCGGCGTTACAAGCGAACAGTTTAATCAGTAGGCTACCTCATAGTCCCGGTTAGCACGAAATTGTGAATACATGTGTTTAATAAGAACCCTCTTCATAAATCATACATTGTTACACTGACAACGTTATTATTTTATTATTGTTTTACAGATTCAAATACATAGCTTTTAAAGATAAAATTAATGAAATACAGCAATTTTACTACAATTATTAGTAAAACTAAACTCACTCACCCTAACATCGGCATCCATAGGGATGATTCACATCTTAGATCAGTTCAACAGTCGCAAGTGTATTGCCTTATGCATTGCCTAATAAGCTGTTTGATAAGCTGTTTAGCAGCTGGCTAACAGGGAAAAATACCTCAAAGTTTATAATTGTAGACTTGCAATAAAGCGAGCATACTGTTGACATGGAAACCAACTTAAACATTGTAGTGTGTGTGTAGATAAAGAACATTCATCGTGACTGCAGCTTATGTTTGTTTGTGTGTTATTCAACTTTAATTTTTTTTTAAATCTGCAGCTATATGATGGAACAATATGCAACTAATTAATACCCCCGGACCAGGACGTAGATTTTCGAAGCTCTCTTAGCGCTAAGATATTCGTAAGTTAATGTTAATGTATGGGACTTACGACTATCATAGCGCTAAGAGAGCTTCGAAAATCTAGGCCCAGATATACAGTAACTGAACTCATGAGCATAGATCTACGAATGCGCAACTGGGACACGATGACTGTGTCAACCAAGACACACAGCTGACCACCCGATCCCGTTAGTCGCCTTCTACCACAAGCATGGGTTGCCAAGATCCTTTAACCTGAATCTTCACGAGTTGGCTTCAGTATATTTATGAGTGAGTGAGTGAGTGAGTGAGTTTAGTTTTTACGCCGCACTCAGCAATATTCTAGCTATATGGCGGCGGTCTGTAAATAATCGAGTCTGGACCAGACAATCCAGTGATCAACAGCATGAGCATCGATCTGCGCAATTGGGAACCGATGACATGTGTAAACCAAGTCAGCGAGCCTGACCACCCGATCCCTTTAGTCGAATTTGCAACAAGCATGGGTTACTTAGATCCTTTAACCTATATCTTCACGAGTTGGCTTCTGCCATGAATTTATTGATCATTAATGAAGTCTATCGTGTGTCTCGGTCACCCTGGAAAACAATTACAGCTTGTTCAGCTTGACCTCACATCTACTCTACATATGCATGACCCGGGGGGTCAAATGGCACAAACGGCAGGTCGAGTTAACTTCATTAAATAGGGGAGCAGAGAATGTTATTAATGTTGCGTTTGTGCGAAGCACGCATACATGGATTCGTTACAGAACATGCCCCGGAAAACAACACTTTTGTAAATAAAGCTAGGACATTGCTGACGATTTCTCGGCACTGAGATGTCAAACGGCGATATGTTCGGACATGTTGACAAACAACTGACAAAGGTGCACCCCTTCACAATAATAGACCCCACCAGTTGTGACACGGTCACGCAATGCATTAGTATTCACTTGATCAGGTCAAGCTGAACAAGCTGTAAATATGTTTTATTTGGGAGCAGGACAAAAGCCACCCGGACAAAAAACACCCGGACAAAAGCCACCCTGACAAAAAACACCCGGACAAATGCCACCCGGAATTCTTGAGGAGTGTAGCTCACAACATCAGACTTTGAATGAAAACAAGATGATAGTGAAAACAGTAAGGAAAGTGTGTAAATGAAAATGACTTTGAATGAAAAATGAAAACAAGATGATAATGAAATAATTACATCTCCAAATACATCCGGGAAATAGGATATTGTGTTGTTTTTGTGTGGGTGGCATTTGTCCAAAGTGGCATTTGTCTAGGCGGCATTTGTCCTAGGTGGCTTATATCCGGGTGGCATTTGTCCTAGGTGGCTTTTATCCGGGTGGCATTTGTCCGGATGTTTTTTGTCCTAGACCCTTTTTTCAGACAGCGCGTTTATCATAACTGGACTCATTCAATATTTCTTTATAGATTAAACGCCATGTGCTCCATCTTGACCTTCAGTAGGAATTAGCACCCTTCACTACAGTCGGGAAAAGTGTTAAGAACAAATCTCGTTGCCATGCAGAACGGACACCTTCCTAATCTGTCTCACAAACACTGACACGTTATTTCAGAGTTGGGTAGATCAGTTTGTATAAACATGTACATGTTCAACATGGAAACCAGAATATCGTGATGTTAGGTTTGACAGTTCGCTTGGACGGAGGAATACGATAACGCATGTAATTTTGTTGTGACAGTTACATTGATCACGTATTCAGAGAATAAAACAAGTGTAAAACATCTGACGACGATCTGCAGGTAATCGAATCTAGTCCGTGACTTACTTCATTAGCTCGATCTACGAATGTGGGATAACAACCTGCATCAACATGTCAGCGAGCCT